TGATAATATTGTGTTTTTATAAAAATTAAAAATTTCTAAAAATAATTACAAATCACTAATGGAGCCAAAATCGGTCAGTGTATAGTTTATCTGTGTTGTACATTTATTTATGTATTATCTTGATTGCTTAAAGTTATATCGGATATTTTAATTTATTGATTTTAATTACCTTTTAATTATTAGTTCATATAACTGTTTTATCTTTATCTGTTGATTGATCTAAAATAAATGTTATAATTGTATTTTCTTAATTTACATGTTATCTATTTGCATGATTTATGGTCAATCGGTAAAAATAATATATGGGTATGTGATATGTGATTGGTTGATGATGTGGATATATCTATGAAAGGTTTATTGGTTACCTTGGGGAAGGATGTACAGATCCGGTGCATAGGAAAAATCCTACTGTAGACATTATTTCAGTCTTACGGAGTTAAGAAGTCTCATACCGGAAGGGATTGAGAGGTATAGTTTACCCTCATACCGGACGAGATATTGAGACGGTGGTATGTTTGGTGCCCATTACCGGACGGGGTATGGAAACAACCAGTTAAATGATAGATTGGATATTAGGTCCACACATAGAGGGGATCCCTATGGACCCAAGAGGTACCAGTAAGTAGGTAAGAAGGTATGTTATTCTTATTGTTCATTTAAATGTGAAATGAAATGTTATCATGGTTATTGTCTTTATAAGTTGACTTTGAAAAACTTGTAACGGTAAGGATGGAATAAACAATTTTATTTATGTTAAATGAATTTACTTAAATTAAAGGCTTTATTAGTTATTTTATTTTATTTTATTTTTACCAACTTTCTATTTCCGTATCAGTTATTAGTGTTATATTCTTATTGGGGTAGTATAGCTCACCCTCCTATTAACCATTTCAGATTAAGAAGATCAATATCTAAATCCTAATTAGTAAGAGGGTTATGAGTAGGTTTTCTCCCGAACCCCATCAAGTACTAGTGGAGGTTAACCCCGTAGGGCCTTTATTTACTATTTTTAGTTATTTATTTTGTTTCTTTTTACTAACTGATGAAAAAGGGACATTCTTGTATCCATATTGGGCATCCTAAATTACTGTGTAAGGAATGTAAATCCTAACATTATTATTTGTTTTCCCATTTAAAGTATGAATTCATTTCCTTTAACTTTTGACGTTTACAGTTGGTATCAGAATCGCATTCATCGAAATCACTAATTACACAAAGATTTAAAAATACAAAAATACAACCTGTTGCTCAACCCGTTCTTGTGAAATGCAGGTACAAGAATATGAGTAAAGGAAGACCCCCACTAAACCGAGTAGCCTGGGATGGGTCACTTCAAAATGATGTCGATCGACTCTTTGAGATACTGGAGAAACTTATCTCCTCCCAGCAGGACCAGAAAGAAAGGAGAGAGCTGTCTGACCCTCCACTCCTGCCACAGTTTGAGCCATCCCTGTAACAAGAAGATTTAGTGCTACCCCAATACACCCTGTTTTTCTACCATATCATTCGGTACCACCAGAGTACAATCAAGTGCCCCTATCATACAACTAGGTACCACCATAGGGTCGTTCAGCTCATCCCCAACATAATCCAGTCCCTCTTCCACGAGATATAGTTCTACTCATGATGGACCCAAGTTACATTGGGAGGTATAAGAGAATAAATTCATCAACCTTTCCAGGGGTGTCTTCCTTCGAGGAGGCTGAGTATTAGTTAGCAGAGACAGAGAACGTCTTCGCAACTCTTAGATTGGTTCTCAAATAGACGGTTGTACTTACCATCTACATACGCGTGGGTAAAGCAAGTCACTGGTGGCAGTTGAAGTATACCACCCTACCCAGTCGAGTCACTTGGGAACAGTTCCTGGTAGCCTTCAATGCAAAGTATCTTCCAAAGCATCTTCGACATTTGAAGAAAATAGAGTTTGCACACCTAATTC